ATAGAGTCACACTTTTTGGAGAAGACTTGAGGATGACATGAGAATACTGCCTACACTGACATGCACAAGCAACCTGAGAGGACAACACAGAAGTCATGCCTCTGATCCTCCTCCAAGGAAAATGATTAATAGCGGCTCCCAAAGTGCTGTCTTTGGAGAAGGAGCAGAGGCATGACATCTGTGTGCAGTCAGTGCAGGCAGCACCCTCATTTTAGGCAGATTTTTTTATTGAAGGCATGTATGTCACTGGTGCATCATGGGATATGTAGTAATGAGGAAGACTAGCAATGTCTTGTAAGATCAGTACACAGAAAGCCAAAGAATGCAGCTGTAAATGAACTAAAATGTAACTGCTTCTGAACTTTGTTGGCAGGAATTGTTTATTGTCCTATGCTAGACTCTCTGGGGTTTGTTTACTAAAGCTGAAGAGTGCACAATTAGGCTCACTTCTGCATAGAAGCCAATCAAATTCCAGGTTTTATTGTCAAAGCTTAATTGAACAGGTTGAGGTTCGAAGTGGATTGGTTTCTATGTAGAAGTGAGCCTGATTTTGCACTCTCCAGCTTTAGTAAATGAACACCTATACAGTTAGGGCCATATGTATTTGGACACAGGCACAATTTTAGTTTTTTTCAGGTATTTACCAAAACATATTCAAGCTCTAGTTATATAATGGATATGGGCTGAAAGTGCACACTCTCAGGTTTAATTTGAGGGTATGTTCCAGACTTCAGGCAGTCATTGGCAGTAAAGGATTCTCAACAACATATAAATGAACATTTTATTTATGATTATATTCAATTGTCCAATCACTTTTCGTCCCTTGAAAAAAGGGGGAATGGCTACTCCTAAGAGCTGTAATTCCTAAACCCTTCCTCCAATTTGGATGTACATACCCTCAAATTAAACCTGACAATGTGCAATTTCAGCCCATATCCATTATAGAACTATAGCTTGAATATGTTTTGGTAAATACCTGAAAGAATCTAAAATTGTGCCTGTGTTCAAATACATATGGAGCTAACTGTATGTGTTGATGTTTAAAAAGGAGAGGCTTTAGTACTATTTTCTTGCAGAATTGTGCAGTTATTGATAATTGACAATTGATAATTTTAACAAATCATCCTAACAAAAGTAAGAGTGTACTAAGGTATGCAGCAATGGGTAGAAACACATTATTTTAATCTGTGTAAGAATGATGTGCAACAGGGAACTGTGCCACTAGCGACCCTGCCACTGGCAGTTTGTAAAAATCCCTAGGATTGCTAAGAGGCTGCCTGTTTGTCCCTATAGAATCTCTATATCTGAGGCAGCAAGATGTCACTCCTAATACTAGCAATCTAGATTTAACAGCATTTGGGCCATCGAGAGAGCAACATCTCTTGCTGTGTTTGGCTACAGAAGTGATTCCATAGGGTCAGACAGGCAGTCTCTTTGGTGAGCCTGCCACTAGCGATTTACCTTTAGTGGCTGAATCACCCATCTGACTTTAGCCTAAAAAGATCATTTTGTAGAGCTGTAAAAGATTTCAAGTTTGAAAAACAATTGACTGAATGTTACGAAAAGGAGTCGGGAAGTACAAGGTATGATGTGATGTGAAGTACACTATATTGCCAAAAGTATTGGGACACCCCTCCAAATCATTGGATTCAGGTGTTCCAATCACCTCCATGACCACAGATGTATAAAATCAAGCACCTACACATGCAGACTGCTTCTACAAACATTTGTGAAAGAATGGGTCACTCTCAGGAGCTCAGTGAATTCAAGCATGGTACCGTGATAGGTTGCCACCTTTGCAATAAGTCCATCCATGAAATTTCCTTGTTACTAAATATTCCATGGTCAACTGTTAGTGGTATTATACCAAAGTGGAAGCAACTGGGAAAAACAGAAACTCAGCCACCAAGTGGTAGGCCACGTAAAATGACAGAGCAGGGTCAGCGCATGCTGAAGCGCACAGTGTGCAGAAGTGACCAACTGTTTGCAGAGTCAATAGCTAAAAGACCTCCAACCTTCGTGCGGCCTTCAGATTAGCACAACAACAGTGTGTAGAGAGCTTCATGGAATGGGTTTCCATGGCTGAGCAGCTGCATCCAAGCCTTACATCACCAAGTGCAATGCAAAGCGTCGGATGCAGTGGTGTAAAGCACGCCATCACTGGACTTTAGAGTAGTGGAGACATGTTCTCTGGAGTGATGAATCACGCTTCTGTCTGGCAATCTGATGGATGTGTCTGGGGTTGGCAGTTGCCAGGAGAACAGTACTTGCCTGACTGCATTGTGCCAAGTGTAAAGTTTGGTGGAGGGGGGATTATGGTGTGGGGTTGTTTTTCAGGGGTTGGGCTTGGCCCCTTAGTTCCAGTGAAGGGAACTCTTAAGGAGTCATAATACCAAGACATTTTGGACAATTTCATGCTCCCAGCTTTGTGGGAACAGTTTGGAGATGGCCCATTCCTGTTCCAACATGACTGCGCACCAGTGCACAAAGCAAGGTCCATAAAGACATGGGATTAATTTACTAAAGGCAAAAATACTGTGCACTTCCAGTGCACTTCAAGTGCAGTTGCTTTATATCTGAGGGGAAGCTCTGAAATGAGGCAAAGCTGTTCTGATTTCTTTCATCCAATCATGTGCAAGCAAAAATTCTGTTTTTTTAAAAAAAAATTTTTTGCATGTTCCCCTCAGATCTAGAGCAACTGCATTGAAAGTGCACTTGGAGTACACAGTCTATTTGCCTTTTGTAAATCAACCTCATGGATGAGTGAGTTTGGGGTGGAGGAACTTGACTGGCCTGCACAGAGTCCTGACCTCAACCCGATAGAACACTTTTGGGATGAATTAGAGTGGAGACTGCAAGCCAGGTCTTCTCGTCTGACATCAGTGCCTGACTTCACAAATGCTCTTCTGGAAAAATGGTCAAACATTCCCATAGACACACTCCTGAACCTTGTGGACGACCCTTCCCAGAAGAGTTGAAGCTGTTATAGCTGCAAAGGGTGGGCCAACTCAATATTGAACCCTACGGACTAAGACTGGGATGCCACTAAAGAACATTTGAGTGTAAAGGCAGGCGTCCCAATACTTTTGACAATATAGTGTATGTCTTGCGTTGATTTTGATCAGGCAAAATGATGATTCACGGTCCACATTATATAGGCAGAAATAAACATATGGTAATCTAGCCCTGAGAACCTGCTTGTAGGAGGGGAGAGCTGAATATTGAAATCCTGGGATAATTTTTTTTTCTTGGAGGAACTTTTGGGGGAGAATTGTGCTATCAAGGTGGTTGGTATCAGCAAGCTATGGCCAAGTCTGAGTGAATTTTGTATTTCTAGATAAAAGCATGAATTGTAGTCTGTTGTACGTATTACCAGTTGTTGTCTGGGTAGTTGCACAAGCCTTGCTAAGTAAGCTTAGTGTCCTGTATGGTTTGAAATAGATATGATGACTGAGAAGACAGCTGTCTTGTGCTATGTGTTAGAGTAATTGTGGTGGGTGGGGGGATTGGGGCTATGGCCGAATATTCTAGTATATTTTAGAAGGTATTTGTGCATAGTTGTTATAATCAAAGACGTGTCTGCTGGGGGAAGGGGGGGGTGTTGGTGCTGCTTTTATAAATCAGATATATTGCATGGGCTACAAGCTCAGTGGTGACATAAGAAGAGATTTCAACAAAAAGATCCGCTGTCTATTTAATTTTGAATCGCTGGGAGAAATCCCCATCGCCGTTCAGCTCTTGAACTGGCTCATTCGGAGCATTGACTTGGATACAGAGCTTCCTTTCTCTTTATTCTGTATCAGGGATGATGTCACCGCCACATGTTCTGCTCTCTTAAAGAGACAGGATCCTTCTACATAATGGGCGAGAGACATGGAAGGGTGAGGAGGGTGATCTCATGAAATACCAATAGCGTTAACCTTAAGAAGCAACTAAACAACGGCAGCTGAATGTATATGGATTTAGTATCAGGAGAGTACAGATGTTCTTCCCTAGTATAGTGTATAAGGCTGTAGTTCACAATGCTGTGCATTGGGGAGTTGGTATCTATGGATTGATTGTGTCCTTCACAGTAATAACCTGCATTCTGAAGTATCTGCCATGCCTTTACTTACCATTTCTAATAGCATCAGCTTTGCTGGGAATCTGCGTGGGTCCTTTGTGTAGTTTTGTGAAGTGAGGGGTCGGTTATATAAAGGTTTATAAATCTGATGGGTACAGAAACGCAGATGGACATATTCGAAGGCATAACTGTGGTTCTCTATAGCCAGTTAAGGATTTACATTCCCGAGGCTGTAAGTTACAACTGGATCTTCTTGTTTATCTGTGTGGTTTGTATAAATTTCCAGATATTTTCCTGTTTCACAAGACCTGTGTCCCGAGATGTCATTATTTTTACATTTTTTTGTTTGCTAACGTGCAGTATGTGACTAAAGGCTGCTAAGGGCCTCTAGACAGTAGTATATATGTCATTGTCCAAAAACATGTATGACCTGGGAAATCTCTGAGGTTATGAATGTTTATTAAATGCTTTTGGCTACATTGTGCTTCTTTGGCTGCCAAGTCCTCAGATAACTGAACCTGTTTTGAGATGCTGAGTGCAATCAACAACAGTTTCTGTTTGAGGCAAAGGCAAAGCCAGCAAATGTGCACAAGTCAAACAGGGAACATTGTTTATCTAAACTTGTTTTAATGAAAACCAGCAAAACTAGCATTATCAGGAAGATGTCATAAAAATATTTCATTTATAGATTGCTGACAGATGCAACTTACATTGCAGGTTGTATAAGTTTCAAAAAAATGTGCAAAAAAACCCCAAAAAAACTTCTTGTTAGTTGTGGGGAAGTTCTTATGAAACTCTTGTTAGTAGTGTGATTTTAGTGCATTGGAACATTTCTCATTCATGTGGACAGAAACATTTACACACACGCAATAAACAGATAGTTTGAATTGGAGTTCCTAAATCTGATGTGAATATGTTTCTTTATTTTTATCCTCAGGCGCAGCTGGCCCAGGCTTTGTATGATAATGCAGCTGAGAGCCCTGAAGAGCTTAGTTTTCGCAGAGGTGACGTGATGCTTGTCCTAGAAAGAGATGCTCACACTCTAGGGGGGTGGTGGCGTTGTTCTTTGAGGGGAAAACAAGGTATTGCTCCTGGAAATCGATTGCGACTTCTGCCAGAAGAAAACACACAGGAAAATGAATACCAGGCACCCCGTCTCATTGGAGCCACTGCAGTAACCCCAAAGTTACAGAAATCTGAAGTTATGCCGCAACATTCCACAGAGGAACAACAATCTGAGGTGAAATGCATTACTAATATGTACCAATATCATGATATCTTTCGTATACTTACTGACTGTATACCATATTGAGATAACATCTAGTGAATTACATGGAGGGCCTTCCCAAAAAATCATGTTATAGAGTGGCCTTACTGAAACTATTGAATTAAAGGAAAGCAATAATGGTTATGGGCAATTTAATTTTATGTGTATGATTTGTTTTTACAGTAAACTGCTTTTTTATACCTGCTTTTTATTTGCAAACTATTTATAATTCTATGACAATTTATTCCCAGAGACTGTATTACCGATTAGACGTGCATTTATTGTACATTTCATTATTCTTTGTGTTTTTAATAAAAACATAGTCCATCTTTTCCAAAAAAATAAATAAATAAAAGCACTATATTGATTAAAATGTTACTAAACCCAGGACCCTGCATTCCCTATATCTGGTCTCCCACAGTACACAGAACATGGAAATGTAATTATTTTAGTAAATATAAACTGCTAAATACCTTTTCTCATCAGAAGTTAGAGCAGTCTTGTGACTTCTATCAGTGTTCAGAAGAGCACTGTTTAAAACTTATGAGAGGAGTTTTCTTTCTGCTCTAGAAGAATGCAAAACCCCTGACCTCTGTCTGGATAGTGCTGATTGGCCGGTGCTGATCACATGTACTCTCCCAAGAAAAAAAAATCTCTCTAGCAATACACACTAAACTGAGCATGTGCAGAATGGCTATGGTTTCAGTCTGTCTTAACAGGAGATAAGATGTGGACATTTGAACAAGAGGAGGAGCAGCAAAGATCAAGATAATGCAGAGGATTAACCCCTTAGGTTCCACAGTGAGTATAACAAGCATGCTTTACTGCATATACAGACTGATATTACTGTTGTGGGTTTAGTAACACTTTAATAAAAATAACAGTGCTTTTGTTATTTATCTGCATTGCAACCTCAATGAGTCTGCTCCTGCAGACTATGCCTCCAGCTGCAGGTCAGTACCAAGGTATGGACCTTCAGTTTTGGAGGTGCACGAAGGGTCAATGGACTACAGCTCTGGTGACGTTCTCAAAGTTGTGCTCCATTGAGAACTACAAGTCCCTCTGTTGTGCTGGCATATGGGCTTGTAGTTTTTGTTTTCACAGAGTCCGATGAATGAATTACACAGCTGTACAGCACAGAATTCAAATAATGACAGGGAACGATGGGGACTAATTGTGGGTGTAACAAAAAACATGGTCAGAAAAATGAACTTCTGTTTTAAGTATCAGTTCTTTGACCTCATGGTAAATATTATATTAAAATGTAATCTAAACCTTCATTGCAGGTATATCAAGTTCCATCAATTGCACGCCTCTGCATCTCATCACCTCAGGATGAAATCTACAACTCTCCTCGTCACATCGAGACATCTCAGCCCTGTCCACAAGAGGTAAACACAAATAGTCCCTTTAAAGCTGAAAAGACACATGAAATACTGTACATATATGAGAGCTGTTTTACCTGCCAAAGGATTTGTATTTGTGTCCACCAGTCCTTAGATCTACACACGTCTGCCCCACACCACAGCCATGTCTAACAGGGAAGGGGACCTGATCTTTCTCTGTTGTAGTTGCACTTTTACTTTGTGACTGGACAGTGAAAGAAGATGCAGCATACTGATGAGCTCATCTCCCTGCCACCATGTTCTCTTTCTGCCTATCAGCATGCTCCTTGCATTACCTCATGCCTAACTGACTCCTTGTGCTGTGTTTCCCTCCCTGTGTTAAGCTCTGCTGTAAAGAAGACTGCAAAAGGATAATTGCAGATAAAATGGAATATGGGTGCAAATAACATGATCACTTATGGAAAGAGCAGTCTATGTTGAGAAGATAAGGATAGCGTCCATCCAGGGATAATAAAAGCACAAGCAAATGGGAAATATTAGCAACTCAGGGCAAGCCTCTTGTTAGGAGCAGAAGCAGTCTCCAAGGTACAGGCAGAGAGAAGAGTGAACACAGAAGTGTCTAAGTGCAGATGGTTAGCTGTTTATTAACCACTTGCCGTCGTATATATACATGATTTTGCATGTAAGGGTAGGGGGCACACGTGTTGTCTTTAGCTCCTGTAGGTGTCAGTCACCGAGTCCTGGTCAGCGGTTTATGGCCGGGACTCAGTGATCTGTGGAGCAGCTGACAGGAGAGAGATCTGTGAGTATAAGGAACACAGATCTTTCCTGTCAGCAGGGATGTGCTGGTTTTCATTCCTCTGCAAAGCAGGGAGGTAAGAGCCAGCACATCCCCTAGTTTAATCACTCCCTAACACACAGTTTGATTGCCCCAGATGCTAGCCCCTTCCTGCCCAGTGCCATTAGTACAGTGTCAGTGCTTTTTATTAGCACTGATCACTGTATTAGTTGCACTGGAGATATAATTGGCAGTAAGTCAGTTCCCATCCAGTGTCAGTTAGTGTCAAAATGCCTGCCGTATTATTGCAGTCCCGCTATAAGTCACTGGTCGCCGCCATTACTAGTATAAATAAATACAAAATTCCAGTATATACTGCCATTTGTAGACGCTATACATTTCACACAAACCAATTAACACATATATAATTACACAATATATACTTATTGGTATTTTTTTTTACCAAAGACATGTAGCAGAATACATTTTGTCCTACATTTATGAAGGAATGTACATTTTTACTTTTTTTCTTTTATTGGATATGTTTTATAGCACAAACATTTTTTTTTTCATTTATAACGCAAAAAAGAAAAAAACACAGTGATGAGATGGTCAACTACCACCAAAAGAGCTCTATTTGTGTAAAAAAAAAAAATTTTTTCATTTGTGTACAGTGTTCCATGACCGTGCAATTGTCAGTTAAAGTAAGCCTCTGAACTGTCAAATGTACAGGGTGCTCTGGCTACATGTGTTCCCCTGAGCAAAGGTGATCTGCAAAAGAGTCAGAGGAAGCACACTCTTCTCCCTTATCTGCTCTCACAGTAGTTGTAAACTTTCTGAGTCTCACCTGCACTTGGACCAGCTAACCTCTCTCTTAAGCCTTCTGCATGAAAGTATGCCTCCACTTATTTAAGTGGGGGGGGTTGTTTGTACATCCAGGTGGGCGCCCGGGTATTGTGCCTGCATGGCATTTGAGTGCACAAGACACCATTTTTCAGCTCATAGGCTAATCTCTTTGGTATGCCTCTCTTTCAGCTGCTACTGGCCATGCCTCCCGTGTTATTGCACTTAGCTGTGTATCTTTCTAGGTTTCCCTGATATCCTTTGTTCCTGTATATAGGTGGAACTTGCCTTTGGGAGTTACTCCACATGTACAGTATTTTCTTTTTCCCCTCCAGTAGTATTCTGTATTCATGGATAATGTTGATCCTCCTGTGTTACTGGGCACCCCTTAGTATTCATCCTCCCCAGAGGGATCATCTGACTTACAGAGTTGGCTGGGACCAGTTTCTAGTGCTAACTTCCCTAAGAGGAACATTACCCCTCAGTGACCTTTGATGGCACTTATTGTTGCTGGAGCACGGGACATTATGTCCACCCTAGTGCATTAACTTGGAATCCCCAATTTGGAACACTTAGATAGCCTTCCTTGAAGAGGGACAGCTTTCTTGCAGCCAGAATTGTTTTGAAGGACCCAGTTCCTGCTAGCTTTGACCATAAGGGGCCTCACGGGTCTCTAGTTTTGGTAACCAAAGGTGACCAAAAAACCAAGGTTGTTCAGCACAAATCTTTGTTGACATGTTAGTCAGTAGACCTTTCCTTAACTGTCAGGAATATTCCCCCCTTTCCTCTTTTGAAGAGCTTATATGGTGTTACAGGATTACTCTCCTAACATTGTCTCTCCTCGGTTGTTGCCTCGCACTCTTCTGCAGTCTCCCCTTCTGGATCTGGGAGCCTGACCTTAAGGTAAGACATTTAGATGGCCCCTATGGACCAAGAATGGTCGCTATGGTTCCTTGTGTGAACCCTCAGTTTCTTAAGGTAAGGCCCATCCCTCAGCTGGACTGCTTTTGGATCTCCCAATTTCTTCTTCATTACTGTGTCCTGTGGAAGAAGTAAGATTTTTGTAAATAACAATATCTGTTTCTTTCAGTCCATTAAAGGGATACAGATCACACCACTTTGTATTTTGTTCTCTGTATTGCTTTCTCACAAAACTGGAAGGGTTATATACCTGTGTCCAAATTCCTGTGTCCTTTAAATTAATTTGAAATACCGTATTTTCCGGCGACGACTGGGCGTATAAGACGACCCTCTACTTTTCCTGTTAAAATATAGGGTATGGGCTATACTCGCCGTATAAGACTACCCCTCTTCCAACGCACACCAAATAAAAATGAAAAAACATCAGATTTGATTTCAATATGGTATGGTATTCCAATGTATGGGGTATTCCAATGACACCAATGGGGTGCTATTCCTCCCACTGACACCAATGATGAGGCACTACTCCTCCCACTGACACCAATGATGGGGCACTATTTCATCCACTGACACCAATGATGGGGCACTATTCCTCCCACTGATACCAATGATGGGACACTATTCCTCCCACTGACACCAATGATGGTGCCCCATCATTAGTGTCAGTGTGTGAGGAATAGTGCCCCATCATTAGTCATGGGAGGAATAGTGCCCCATCATTAGTCAGTGGGAGAAAGTGCCCCATCAGTGTGGGAAGAATCCCCATCATTAGTCAGTGGGAGGAATAGTGCCCCATCATTAGTCAGTGTCAGTGTGGAGGAATAGTGTCCCATCATTGGTGTCAGTGGGAGGAATAGTGCCCATCATTGGTATCAGTGGGAGGAATAGCGCCCCATCATTGGTGTCAGTGGGAGGAATAGCGCCCCACATTGGTGTCAGTGGGAGGAATAGCGCCCCACCATTGGTGTCAGTGGGAGGAATAGCGCCCCATCATTGGTCAGTGGGAATCATCATTGGGAGTGGGAGGAATAGTGCCCCATCATTGGTGTCAGTGGGGAGAACAGTGACCCATCGTTGGTGTCAGTGGGGGAATAGGAACAGTTGGTATCAGTCCCCATCGTTGGTGTCAGTGGGAGGAAACAGTGCCTCATCGTTGGTGTCAGTGGGGGAGGAACAGTGCCCCATCGTGAGGGAATGTCCCCAGTGGGTGTCAGGAACAGTGCCCCATCATCAGTTGGGAGGAATAGTGCAGTTAGGTCAGTGGGGGAGGAATAGTGCCCCATCATTGGTGTCAGTGGGGAGGAGGAATAGTGCCCCATCATTGGTGTCAGTGGGGGAGGAACAGTGCCTCATCGTTGGTGTCAGTGGGGGAGGAACAGTGCCTCATCGTTGGTGTCAGTGGGGGAGGAACAGTGCCTCATCGTTGGTGTCAGTGGGAGAGGAACAGTGCCTCATCGTTGGTGTCAGTGGGGGAGGAACAGTGCTTCATCGTTGGTGTCATCGTTGTGGGGGGAGGAGCGGCTGCTCCTTCTTCCAGTGCGGGAGGAACAGTGCCTCATCGATTTTCGTGGGGCCGGAGCGGCTCTCCTTCTCCTCGCCGTGATGATTTTCGCCGCTCGGCTGTGCCGGTGCCTGTCCTTTCCAGTGCTGGCGCGCCCAATCACCGTTGAGGAGGCGGAGCCGAGCGGCCGCGTGACCATCGAGCGGCCGAACTGAAAGAAGGAGCAGCCGCGCAACCTGGACCGGATCGTCGTGGGACCGGAGCCAGGTAAGGTACAGCAGCCCCTCTGTCTACACCCCTGTACTTAGTGTCCGCTGGAGGAGGAGGAGGGGGGGGGCGCCGCGCCCGCCCCTCGAAAAAGTGCCGCCCTGACACCGGCTCGCGTATAAGACGACCCCCGACTTTTCAGAAGATTTTCAGGGGTTGAAAAGTCGTCTTATACGCCGGAAAATACGGTATGTGTTATAATACAACATTTTTTGACTTTATGGAAGAAAAATGTATTTTGTTTATGTATTATCAATTGCAGAGCTGCATTAATTTGCCTCTTTTATATCTACATGGAGTTCAGCTTTAAGAATTTTTACACCAGTTATGTATATAGTTCCTTTTTTGCATGTCTGTCCCAGCTGCTTCTGTTGCAGGCTGGTTTGTCTTTGATATTTTGTTAATGTATTTTTTCTCTTAATTCTCTAGGTTTATGATAAACCATCATCGTTACTGAGGGATATACAGTCTGTATCAGAAACATATGACAGTCCAGTGTTGCGTGTTAAAGATGTAGCTGTCCAACCCCCTGAAGAGATACCTGAAGATATATACGATGTGCCACCAATGTTCCAGAATGTGCCACTATCAGATAATGAAGAAGATGAGGGTATTTATTCTATGCCCTCAAATTTAAAACGGGTGTCAGGGCTCCAGAATCTCTATGAAGCACCAGAAGACATTTTAGGTTGTGGTAACTTACCGGAAACTCTTGAACCCCCTCAAACTCATCGTCTTTCGGTTTCCAGTACTGGCAGCGCTCGTTCCGCAGACTCTGGAGGGAGTCGGGAATCTGGTCTGCCATCTGTTCTGTCAAGGGATCCTCGAAGTGATGGAGTTTCCACCATGGAGTCATTGAGACTGTTGCACCAAGAACTGCAAAGGACAGTGGTACTTATGTTTGAAAAGATGCAAGAGAGCTCAGGACAGGGGTGTTTAGAATATCAAGTTACAGCTCAGGTAATGGAAGCCCTTAAAGACTTTGTGGACTTGGCCCAGGTTGTTCTCCTTCACTCTTGCCAAGCCTCAGATCCATCATTGCACCGACAACTCTCAGGGCACCTTGAAAAACTTGAGCTTGCTTTACTGGCACTGCAGGAAGCCAGTATTGAGTTATCAGTAGTTAACATAATTCAGGAGCAGAGTGGGTTTATTTTAGCACTCGTAACTGCCAATGCTGGCCTTCTCTTCCCACGACCACGACTCTCTTCTAGTGAAAGCCTTTCCCGGCGGCCACTTCCTGCACTACCCACAGCCTCCCCTGCTACACATCGCAAAGGCAGCATCCAAGATCGACCTCTACCACCACCACCTATCATGCACTGCGCTCCTAGTGATCCTGTTGAAGATGCACACAGTGAATATGAGAGGATTCAGTGCAGAGACAATCATTATGTTCATCTACAGGTAATATATATGCTGAAGACATGACTCTGCTCTTATTATATTTATTTGTCTTGTTTTGAGCAGCTAACGTGTATGTTGTCCAAACAATAGGTTATGGTGTAGGCTACTGAAAATTATTCCTTAAAGTGCCAATGTATATTTCAGCACAGTACAGTTGTTTGCATGATTATAACGGTGACCCTTTTTTCTCTAAGGGTACTGTCACTACTCAGACAATGCAAAAATCCAAAGACAGACCTACAGACATAGATCAGCGCAATTCACAGGAGAAAAAGGTGAGCATAGTTACAGTAAATGCTTTCATTTCCCCAGACTGTACTTTATATGGACCATAAGTGATGTGAGAATCCTTTAGGAAAGAGGTAGGTAAACATATGTCAGTTATTGGTCAATACCTTAAAGCTTGTCTCTAAGTTGTAGATTTTTTTGTTTTGGTTAGAATAGGGAAGGATTAGAACTCTGGTTAGTAAGACAGACAACAAATGCTTGACAGGGGCTTTAAACCATTTTTACTTGATCTAAAAGTGCTGTCTTCCTCATTGCAGATATCATACTCACTTCACATTTCAGTGATCACACAATGAGGAAAAATGTATTATTTCTGATAAGAACAATACAATAAAATTATGACAAATATCCTAACTCTTAGCTGCTCTAACCAAATTTATAGCCTACTTTTGGCTGGATGTGGACTTTAAACTCCAGATAAACCTTAATTTCGATTACACTCAGTTTTTTTAGTAATGTTTTGGCAAAGAGTTAACATCAAAAGTATCTTCTAATAAATTAAATAGCCAGAATACCTTGCATCCCTCCAATGGTTATTATACACAGAATATGAGAAGTGTACTGTCAGCTTAAAGGCATAGTCTACCTTTTGAAAAAAAAAAAATTAAAATATTGGAATATTGATAAAAGAAATTTGTAATTTATTAATTTTGAAAATGGGCCTGCAGAGAATTGCAGGGTGCAATAAACAGGCTCTTGCACAGCTCAGTCCCAGGTCTTTACAGAGGTATGGACCTAACATGAAAGGTGCTGGAGTACCATTGTGTAGAGATCATCGCACTTGTGCTCGATAGAGATCTGCAAGTCTTTCAGCCTCTATGAATGGATGATACAGATGTTTGGGCGGAGCCAGAAACAGCTGTGCTGAATTCAAACACAGAAGGGAGTTTGAGGGTGGGGAGTTGGAGAACTTTGGGGTTTACACCCTAAAATATGGGTGTGACATAAAATGTGGTCCCAAAGGTGAACTAAGCCTTTAAAATAAAATTGTGTTCAGCAATGTACACTACTCCAAAAAATTAAAGGAACACTTTTTAATCAGAGTATAGCATCAAGTCAATTAAACTCCTGGGATATTGATCTGGTCAGTTAAGTAGCAGAGGAGGTTGTTAATCAGCTGCTTTGGTGGTAATGAAATTAACAACAGATGCACTAGATGGGCAACAATGAGACGACCCCCAAAACAGGAATACAGGTGGAGGCCACTGACATTTTTTTCCCCTACTCATCTTTTCTGACTGATTTTTACTAGTTTTGCATTTGGCTAAGGTCAGTGTGACTACTGGTAGCATGAGGCGATACCTGGACCATACAGGAGGTTGCACAGGCAGTCCCAACTCTTCCAGGATGGAACATCAATATGTGCCATTGCCAGAACGTTTGCTGCATCTCCCAGCACAGTCTCAAGAGCATGAAAGAGATTCCAGGAGACAGGCAGTCACTCTAGCAGAGCTGGACTGGGCCGTAGAAGGTCCTTAACCCATCAGCAGGACTGGTATCTGCTCCTTTGTGCAAGGAGGAACAGGATGAGCATTGCCAGAGCCCTACAAAATGACCTCCAGCAGGCCACTTGTGTGAATGTCTCTGACCAAACAATCAGAAACAGACTTCATGAGCGTGGCCTGAGGGCCTGACGTCCTTTGCTCACTGCCCGACCTAATAGAGCTCGATTGGCATATGCCATTGAACACCAGAATTGGCAGGTCCGCCACTGGCAGCCCTGTGCTTTTCACAGATGAGAGCAGGTTCACCCTGGGCACATGTGACAGATGTGAAAGGGTCTGGGGAAGCCGTAAAGAACATTATGCTGCCTGTACCATTGTTCTGCATGACTGTTTTGGTGGTGGGTCAGTGATGGTCTGGGGAGGCATATCCATGGAGGGATGCACAGACCTCTACAGGCTAGACAATGGCACCCTGACTGCCATTGGGTATCGGGATGAAATCCTTGGACCCATTGTCAGACCCCTATGCTAATGCAGTGGGTCCAGGGTTCCTCCTGGTGCATGACAATGCCCGTCCTCATGTGGCGAGAGTATGCAGGCAGTTTCTGGAGGATGAAGGAATTGATATCATTGAATGGCCCCCAATAGAATACCTCTGGGGTATCATGTTTCGTTCCATCCAACACCGCCAGGTTGCACCTCAGACTGTCTAGGCGCTCGGTGATGCCCTGCACTAGATCTGGGAGGAGATACCACAGGACACCATCCATCGTCTCATTAGGAGCATGCCCCGACGTTGTTAGGCATGCATACAAGCACGTGGGGGCCATACAAACTAATGAGTACCATTTTGAGTTGCTGCAATGAAATTTCAGCAAAATGGGCTAGCCTGCTGCACCATTTTTTCACTTTGATTTTCAGGGTGTCTTTGACTTAAGTCCTCAGTAGGTTGATAATTTTCATTGCCATCAAACGATGGGGCATTCCTAACACATTACCCAGTCCATATCAGTACAGATATCCAGCATGAGATTTTTCCCCATTGAGTTCTGATGTGTTTTCAAAGTGGTCCTTAACTTTTTTTGAGCAGTCTACTTTACAAATGTGTTTAGTGAAGTTCCATTATTTCAATGAATATAGGGATGGGATGCCAGAAGAAGGACATATTACTGGTCAAAGTTATGGGACCAGCTTCTCCATGAACCATGGAGTGTTTTTTTTTTTTTTTTTTTTTGCAGTATTATGTAGGAAACATTGCATTATACAACACAGGCTCCACAATGCAGCTACCAAGTGCAGGTAGACTCTGGTTTACAGCAGAGATAGGATTTCTGACTAAAAAGGATAATAGGAGAGATCTTGTGGTCTCTGCACTTCGGCTGCTTTCACACTGATCTGTTTTTGCGTTAAAAAAAAACAGCGGAAGAAAAAAAAACACATGACCATTAAATCCTATGAAACTCTTCACACTGGTCAGTTGCAAGTCTGTTTAATTTTTCCAAAGACCTGCTTGCTGCATTTTTGGTGTGCTTAAAAAAATATTAAAAAAAAACCCCCACACCATCCCATTGAAATGAATGGAAAATGCACCCAGTCACGTATTATGGTGCATTTTTTTGAGTCATGGGTCTTTTTAAACAGGTAAAAAATGCACTGGAAATGTTTCAGAAACGCAGCAAAACCACATATGCGTTTTTAGTGACGTTTTTCAAGGGAGCATTGTGAAAGTAGCCTTACAGAGGACATAAAGTTTATTTTAAGTGACCGCTTCACTTCAACACTCTGCAAAACACACTCTTCTGCATGAATTCTGATTGCTCATTGTGCGAAACACAGGTCTTGTACTTATGGCCTCATTTCCAATAGACCTCTGTACCCTTAATCGTAACAAATACTATTTTTGTAGACCAGGATTCCTAATAGAACTGATTACATCTTTATGTACCTAATTTGCCAATATCTGTCCTATAGATCACTCTCATGATTTCATAGTAGTAAAAGAGGACTCCATCTACAGTCAGGTCCATAAATATTGGGACATCGACACAATTCTAACATTTTTGGCTCTATACACCACCACAATGGATTTGAAATGAAGCGAACAAGATGTGCTTTAACTGCAGACTGTCAGCTTTAATTTGAGGGTATTTACATCCAAATCAGGTGAACGGTGTAGGAATTACAACAGTTTGTATAAGTGCCTCGCACTTGTTAAGGGACCAAAAGTAATGGGACAGAATAATAATCATAAATCAAACTTTCACTTTTTAATACTTGGTTGCAAATCCTTTGCAGTCAATTACAGCCTGAAGTCTGGAACGCATAGACATCACCAGACGCTGGGTTTCATCCCTGGTGATGCTCTGCCAGGCCTCTACTGCAACTGTCTTCGGTTCCTGCTTGTTCTTGGGGCATTTTCCCTTCAGTTTTGTCTTCAGCAAGTGAAATGCATGCTCAATCGGATACAGGTCAGTTATTGACTTGGCCATTGCATATTAATCCACTTCCTTCCCTTAAAAAACCCTTTGGTTGATTTTCCAGTATGCTTTGGGTCATTGTCCATCTGCACTGTGAAGCGGCATCCAATGAGTTCTGAAACATTTGGCTGAATATGAGCAGATAACATTGCCCGAAACACTTCAGAATTCATCCTGCTGCTTTTGTCAGCAGTCACATCATCAATAAATACAAGAGAACCAGTTCCATTGGCAGCCATACATGCCCACGCCATGACACTACCACCATCATGCTTCACTGATGAGGTGGTATGCTTAGGATCATGAGCAGTTCCTTTCCTTCTCCATACTCTTCTCTTCCCATCACTCTGGTACAAGTTGATCTTGGTCTCATCTGTCCATAGGATGTTGTTCCAGAACTGTGAAGGCTTTTTTAGATGTCGTTTGGCAAACTCTAATCTGGCCTTCCTGTTTTTAAAAGCTCACCAATGGTTTACATCTTGTGGTGAACCCTCTATATTCACTCTGGTGAAGTCTTCTCTTGATTTTTGACTTTGACACACATACACCTACCTCCTGGAGAGTGTTCTTGATCTGGCCAACTGTTGTGAATGGTGTTTTCTTCACCAGGGAAAGAATTCTTCGGTTATCCAACACAGTTGTTTTCCGTGGTTTTCTGGGTCTTTTGGTGTTGCTGAGCTCACTGGTGCGTTCCTTCTTTTTAAGAATGTTCTAAACAGTTGTTTTGGCCACGCCTAATGTTTTTGCTATCTCTCTGATGGGTTTGTGTTGTTTTTTCAGCCTAATGATGGCTTGCTTCACTGATAGTGACAGCTCTTTGGATCTCATCTTGAGAGTTGACAGCAACAGATTCCAAATGCAAATAGCACACTTGAAATGAACTCTGGACCTTTTATCTGCTCATTGTAATTGGGATAATGAGGAAATAACACACACCTGGCCATGGAACAGCTGAGAAGCCAATTGTCCCATTACTTTTGGTCCCTTAACAAGTGGGAGGCACAAATGCAAACTGCTGTAATTCCTACACCGTTCACCTGATTTGGATGTAAATACCCTCAAATT